CCTCTCCCACTCCCCCTGCTTGTGTTCCCTCTCTCGCTATATCTCTCTCTATCAAATAAATAAATAAAATCTTTAAAAAAAATTTTTAAATACATATTTCAAAATAAAAAGTTAAAAAAGTAGTCTTCTTTTCTGAAACAATGGTGATAATAAACACTAGTTGTATTTTTAATACCCCTATACTTAGCAAAATAAATGATAGGTCAGCTCCCAAAGTTACTTTTGAAATTGCTTTGGACTATTACATGCCACAAAGACTAGGTACCACTGCATTAATTTACCACTTCCCATAGTGTACATTATGGCACCAAATGAGCTGCTGCCAATCAGGCAGGAACAATGATATCTTCTTTATAGACGAGGAAAGTGAAGCTTAGAGATAGATGGTTCAGCAGTTTGTCCAAGGTCACAGAGACATTAAGTGCACAGATGGGAATCAAACCCAGGTCTCTCTGTTCCAAAACCCGTGCTATCTCCCTCACAGATGTATAAATACAATATTAAAAAAATTACTATACGGGCGCCTGGGTGGCACAGTCAGTTAAGCACCGACTGTTGGTTTCAGCTCAGGTCCTGATCTCAGGGTCATGATATCAAGCCCTGCATTGGGTTGCACTCAGTAGGAAGTCTGCTTAGGACTCTCGCCCTTTCCCCCCCGCCCCTCTTCTCACTCCCCACCTCCCACATGCACTGTCTCTCTCTCTCATTAATAAACAAATCTTTTTAAAAAATTACTATAATGGGGATGTCTGGGTGGCTCAGGCAGTTAAGCATCTGCCTTCAGCTCAGGTCATGATCCCAGGGTCCTGGGATAGAGTCCCACATTGGGCTCCTTGCTTAGCCGGGAACCTGCTTCTCCCTCTGTCTGCTGCTCCCCCTGCTTGTGCTCTCTCTCTCTCTCTCTCTCTCTGACAAATAAATAAAATCTTTAAAAAAATAAGATAAAGTAAGATAAGATAATAAAAAATTACTACAATGAATTTAAACCCTGGCCCCCACTGAAAAAGAAGTTCCCCTGCTATAGTCTCCCATTTCCTTTCACTCATAGCACCTGTCACAATACATCATTTCCTATTTATTTGGGTGATAATTTGTTATGTCTAACACCCTTCTTCTTTCTCCCATACGCACAAGACTGAAAGGACCATGCCCATTAAGGACAGGGACCATATCTGTTTTCCCATCTCAGCACAGTCAACATAACCTAACAGAGAAGGTTATGGGTTCTGACAGCAGGCAGAAACATGTGATCTTGGCTCAAACAAGTTATTTAATCTCTTCTAGTTCCAATTTCCTTATCTATAAAATATATTATCTAATCCTTAGGGCCATTATGGGGGGATAAATGATTTAATACAAATGCAGTTTGTAGCATGATACCTTACAGATAAACCAAAAGTTAAGCATGACTTACACACAAAAATTCTAGCTTTTATTATTTTCATAATTATGGCATTAAATAAATATTCATTGAATGAATCCAAGTGGATGGTCTTAAACATTATACTTGAATAACAATGTTTATTTATTGGAACTTGCAAAGAGGAAGTTAAAAGTATCTATACCCTCCTTCAATTTACCAAAAAGAATCAATATAAAGCTACTTTGCCTTATCATCAACTCAATCTCTGGTATTTTTCTAATATGCCTGTTAAATGTTCCTTTTGATTCACAAACTGTTCCAAACCTTCACCACTAATAAATCAACCCTACAAATTTCCTGCTCCCTGATGTTTCAATTGTACCAAGAAAAAAAAGAAACAACTAAGAACTCCCTCAACACCCTGATTCTCTCCCTCCACCATGCCTACAAATTGATCAACAAACTCTCCTCCTATCTTACAGGAAAAAGCAATTTTCTTTTTTTTTTTTTTTAAAGATTTTATTTATTTATTTGACAGAGAGAGACACAGCGAGAGAGGGAACACAAGCAAGGGGAGGGGGAGAGGGAGAAGCA